GATGGAGGGTGCAAGAGGCGCTGGTCTTGGGGGAGACCCGGCAAGCGAGGTGCGCTGCCAGCCCTTTTCCCCGAGTCGCTGCCAAGCAGAGCTCGCTCCCGCCCATGCAAACTTTGCTCCTCTGTCGTGGTGGGGGTAGCTGCTGCTGCTGAATGTGCCTTTTTTTTGAGGGGGCCCCTCAGAGGAAGGTTGCCGGACCTCTGTGTGTGTTTGTGCGTCTGCGTGCACCTGTGGGGGCCCTGCCCCATTCTGTTTAATTTCGCAGCTAGCGGTGGGGGCTCTTCTCCTTTGGCAATGCCAATTCTGTGAGGGGTTTTAAAAAATTTTATGTCGTGCGCTCCCCCCCCCGCTAGGTGGTCACAAGCACTCCCTCCCTTCTCTGCTTCTTCATCCTGCTGCTGCTGCTGCTGGTGGTAGTAGTGAAGAAGGAGCTGGAGGGGGTCATGGCCGGTGCCCGTCTTCCTCCTCCTCCTCGGAGCCCCAGCCGGGCTAAGGAAATTCCTGGGCGGCTTGCTCGGGCTCTTGCTCCGCTTGGCGGAAAATCTGATGCGGCCCAGCCTCATCCAGACTCTGCCTCCAGCGGCCCCCGGATAAATTGAGTTTTAGACCCCTGTTGTAGACCGTTCTCTAGTGCCCTCTGAGTATCTGCAGCAGCCATCTTCTGTCTGGAAGTGCTCAGAAAAGACTATGAGAGCCGACTTCACCTTTTGGTTTGTTCTACACACACATGAAAATTGTGAGGGCATGGGACTGTCACGAGGGCATGGGGACTTTTGGATTTCTTGCACTACGATCCCATAGAATTCTGTAAACAGGAAATCTAATTCCTCTGAGTTTTTTTTTAAATCACTCAGGCATGGGCCTCTGTATCAGGTTGCTGTGATGACCATTTGCCTCTGAAGAAGGAAATGGCTAGGAGTGGCTAAGCTAAGTACCACAAAGGGATTATGGGACCGGTACGTGGGTTTTTTTGTTTGTTTTGTTTTGTGAGCCACTCTTTAGAGTCTAATGGGCAGAAAGACGACCAGTGCTTTCCCTGAAGCTCAGCACTACCAACCATTGATTCTTCTTCAGAAGCAAAGGGTTGTTGCTCCAGATACCAAGGCCGACATGTGAGTGATGAAAAATTCCTCTGTGGAATTGGATTTCTTGCTTGTAGCTCCCAAAATTTTGGCTGATGGAATTCCTGGTGAATTCTGGAGGATGGAGCGCAAGATATCTGAAAGGGTCTAACTGCCTAATTGTCAACATAGCCTGGGAAATGTACTTGTTTGGGACTATAGACATTATAGTGTCCCATCACCTTAGTTCTAGGTGCATTCATTAAAAAAAAAAACTTTCCAGCTTCTGACTGCTGGACCATGTGTACATGCTCACTTCCTCACACACATGCAGATACACACCATTCCTGTTTAAACCTTGTACACTAGGGCAGGACAGTTTATCATGTGAATCGTGTTTTGTTGCACAGGCCACACACAAGTAGACTTCCAAGCTAGCCGTGATAATCTAATCTAAGTTCACCCACAGCTCAACCACTTGCCATGAACAGTCTGGGGTTTAAGTTTTAAAAAAACAAACAAATAGCTGCGACAAAAACGGTGCGAATAGACCTACTGCTTTTTGCCATTAAGGCAGGTACTCTTTTCATCTCTACCAGCATAAAGTATTTTGGAGGGAAGAGAACCCTCTTTGTCATCTTCTGTGTGCCACGATTCTCAGCAGCAGCAGCAACTGAGAGCTGAAGAAACCATCCTAACAGCAGCAGCAGCAACTGAGAGCTGAAGAAATATACTGGGTTTTTTTCCATTTCAACTCAGTGAAACCCACCTTCAGGAAGAGTCCGAGGAAGATGGAACAACAGGCAGTGCAGGGAAAAGAGATTGTGAACTGAATTAGAGCAGAAATGGAAAAGATTGCGTACGTGCATGAACAAATCTTTCTCTTCACCCGTGAACATTTTTCGAGTTAGGAACATGACTAGGAAAAGAAACTACACTTCACATTTGTGTACAGATCAACCCCAAGAGTGAAAGAAAATCAATAAACCAGCCATTCTATGCAGTCCCAGAAGTTACCCTTTGAGCTTAAGCAGGCCTCCAGATGTTTTGGATTTACAAGTTCCAGGTTTCTTATCCAGCACTGCCAGCGGTAGGTAATTTTGGAACTTGTAGCCAAAATGTCTGGAGGACCAAAAGTTGTACAGCCCTAAGCTAAGGTAATATTGGAAAGAAAGAACACAAGGAGGTTAACCGTGCCCACCTTTGCCGTGTTCAAGGCGGCTCCATAGCCTGTTGAAACACCACAACCTAACAGGCAGACCTTGTCCAAGGGAGCTGAAGCATTGATTTTAGTCAGAGAAATGTCTGCAACAACAGTGTATTCGGAGAAAGTGCTGGTTCCCATGAAGTGGAGAACTTGCTTTCCTTTGCATGTGAACCGACTGGTGCCATCGGGCATCACTCCTTTTCCTTGGGTGACTCTTTGGAGCAAAACCAGGGCAATTGTGTTACACAGACATGTTAGATCAAGTTACAGCCTATCAATGGTCTGTGTAACCTCTTGTGGTGATCCTAGTTGGAAAGTGATGCCAGACAGAAGACTCTGTCAAGCTGTTTCATTTTCTCTATAGCAGTTTTTCTGCACCAGGAAAATGTGGGAATGTTACAAAAGGGCAGAAGTGCTATCTTGACCACCCCATAAGATTTCACTAATCTTAATAATTGCAGAAGAAAACTCACATCTGAAAGAATCCCTAGATTCATTGAGCTGGCCCACATCTGCTGCATCTGCCAGAATAAAGTGTGACAGAAATTCCACAGGTATGATTGTGCATAGCATGACCTGCCATAAATACAAGGGACCACCTTGCTGTTAGAGATGGGCTGCATATATTCTGCTGAGGACTGCATTCCCTCAACAGGGAAGTTCTCTCAAGGGCTGTAAGCTAGTGATGGGTTGGGGCTGGTGGGAAGGGCCACCGCACCTGAAAATAGGCAAGTCTACCTTTCTGTTCCCAACACACAACCTCCCTTCCTTTCCATCTAGCAGGTTGCTGGAGAAGGGAACAAACTGCTATTCTACAGAGGTTTTGAAATTAACCTAAAACAGTGGAAGATCATGACTGATTTCGCAGGGGGTATGCTGTGAATTCCATCTGGATTTTAGTTTGAACCTCAAAGGACCTACTTGATGTGCTGAGTTGCATCTCCAAAATACGCTCAACTTAAGTCCGGACTAAAACCCAGAGTGGGTTCACTGCCCCCTACAGAAACAGGGTCACTGACCTACACTAGGATGAAAATCACCTGTTTCCCAACCCTGGTCATCTTTGGAAGGGCAGGCACACTTTCTACAATTAGAATTTGCTTTGGGGATGGTACAGAGCTAGGATTTACCATGAATCTTGTAAGTGGAAAAGGGTGCATTTGAATGATCCCATCGCATGGTGGGTGGTGAACCCGCAAAAGCCATCCGTGCTGGGGCTATGCAAGTTGCAGTCCAACATACAGTATATAAAGGTTATCGGGTTGGAAAGGCTGGCTCAGAATTTTGTGCAAAAGTGGGGCACAGAGAAAGTCAGAGGAGCTCCTTTATTTTTTGCTGGGCAGTTGGGATGTGATCACCAAGTGATCTGCTAGGTAATCACATGCCAGCTGTTTGGTTACTACATCTCTGGCCCCAACACTGAGCCATCGTATTCCTAAACAACCCTTGTCTTGTATAACAAAACATAAGTGTGCGGGGGGGGGGGGGGCAAAAGAAAAGCACAAACCTTATTTTCTGGCACAGATTTGTTTTAGGGTTTAAACAGAACTTGCATTCTCCACACTGAGGGATATACAGAGGGATCACAGTGTCTCCTGGAAAACACAAGATAGTTCAGGTTTGTTTTGATTTTCTTTTTTATAACTAGTTGATAAAAACGCAAAGTATTAAGCAAGATATTACATAACAGTAAGGTTCCCCTTGACATTTAGTCCAGTCGTGTCCAACTCTAGGGTCCGGTGCTCATCCCCATTTCCAAGCTATATAGCTAGCGTTTGTCCGAAGACAGTTTCTGTGGTCACGTGGCCAGCGTGACTAGACGTGGAACGCCATTACCTTCCCACCGTGGTGGTACCTATTTATCTACCTGCATTTGCATGCTTTCAAACTGCTAGGCTGGCAGGACAGAATGCTAACACAGTAAGCAGTGTCTTCATGCTTCAGAATTGATCACAACAATTTTAAGATTAAAACAAATAGGATCTATCCAGGAGCAGGAACTGCCAAAATATGGACCATTAGTGTCCATGTATCTCTAAGAGTTGTGTTAAGATGGGAATCTTAGACAGTGCAGCTTGTCATGACCTTACACTACAGGGATATGTATGAAAACCTGCCACTGTTAACAACCTCTCCATGGCCCAATTATCCAACCCTACATGAATCCTACATTTGAAGGCTAGTCTGGTTTCAAGAAGATGTTTTTGGCCTTTTTGGCATTTAGAGGTGAGGATATTATGTCACTTTGGAGAAACATTCTCAACCCTACAGTTCAGTGTAGGCAATTTCAGCGGTTCTAGGGTGGGGGCAATGTTGCTAGAGGTCCAACTCTTCCAGTTTTACTGCTTGGGGTTTACAGGAAGCTCACAGGGTGTATATCACATTTTATTGCCAAAACCAAAAGTGCAGGAGGCTGCCAGGAGTAGAAAATGCATTTTGCTGCAGAATTTTTGTTCAGTGATGGAAAACCCAGGGGCTGCATCAAACAGTCTCAGTGGACCACAGGTAATGTCAAGGCAGTGCTGCCATGTGCCCATTCCTGCCAAAGCTCCAAGTGCCCAATCTGGGGCCTTCCAAGTGGGACCGCTGTAAATGGACCTGGAAGGAACCATGTTGAAACTGGTGACCACAGGCATTCCAGCAAACATGCTCCTGCTCCTCACAAGTGGGATTCACACCAGCTACAGTACGTGTTCAAGCATCACTCTACACAGGTGACTGAGGGGCAGATATATTACTAACAGACATATTTTTAGTGGCTCACGCCCTTGAGAGTTTAGTATAGCGCAACACACTAAACAAGATTTCCTCCACAGGCAAATACAGTGGTGCCTCACACAACGATGTTAATTGGTTCCAAAAAAATCAACGTTGTGTGAAACATCGTTCTGTGAAACACCATTTCCCATAGGAATGCATTGAAAACCGGTTAATCCGTTCCAATAGGAACAGATTGCTGTCTTTAAGTGAAAAAACCCATAGGAAACATCGTTGAGTGAAACAATGTTTCCTCCATTGGAATGTATTGAAGCCGACTCAGTACATTTCAATGGCTTGGCGAAGTCCTTTTTCGCTCCTGTAAAAGTGCCTTACAATGTTTGGAACAGGTTTTAAATGCTTGTAATCGTTAGCCCACCTCCTGAACCCTATGCAAACTTAATTTGGTGTTGTTCTGAGTCGTCCTTAATTTTTGGTGATTTTTTGTTTTCCCTATTTAAATGCATTGAACTGTCCATTCAATTGATTTAAATGGGGAAAATAAAAAAATCACCGAAAATTAATGAAGACTCAGAACAAAACCAAATTAAGTTTGCACATGTTTCACAAGGTGCACTATGGAATCCAAGCATTTAAAACAGGTTTCAAACATTTTAAGACACTTTTAAATGAGCAAAAAGGGACATCGTTAAGTGAAATTCCCCCATAGAGAACATCATTAAACGATAGGGGAAATTCCTCAAAAAAAAACCCATCGCTGTGTGAATTCATTGTTGTATGAAGCAATCGTTGTGCGAGGCACCACTGTACAGGTGTCACCCTGGCACCCATCTCAGGTGGAACAGTCTTATCGTGTTGGCCTTGAATTCCCACAGACTTGGTCACTGCTGATCCAGAGGTAAGGACTGTATCTAAATGGGCTTAAATTAAAAAAAGGCAGGAGCTGGGGTCAGTCACTTGGAGAAACATGTTAATGACACAAGGAGTTTGACATCTGGGGAACCCAAGGTTGGGAACCACTACTGCTCTAGGTTTTCTTAACTTAAACACCAGGTGGAATATGATATTTGATAAACCACTCATGAAGCCACCACTAAAAATGTAGCTAAGTAATAGTCACAGAAAGTATATGCCATCTAATTACTTAAAAGAAGCTTTGCTAAGTCTTTTCAATTGGGAAAAAGCAATCTATCACATTCTGGAAAGAGGTATATTAGTCTAACACAGTTCCATAAAACACTGCTATAATTACCCACTGTAGCTCTCTACTGCAGACAAACTTTACACAAATATTGGTGATATTGCACCAGTTTCTTAGAAGATGTCACTTTCTGCACATAGATTCCCCATCCAATTATCCCTGATGATATGTCAGGGAGTGTGGTAAGGTAGGCAGAAAACCTCAGAAAAACCAACAAAAAAAACTTGGTGTAATTATTTCTAATCTGAGGTGGATCTGTAGAAGCCACTCAACGTACATCTCTTAGGATCTCCAGCAAAGCAAGAAAAACATGCTCAACAAGGACAGCAAAGAATCATAAAATCTTAAAGACAATCCTACAAGAAGCTACAACAAGAGAAAGAATCTCCTCACCTGGTTTAAATTTAGTCACTCCTTCCCCAACACTTTCCACAATTCCTGCTCCTTCATGACCCAGGATGACAGGGAAACTCCCTTCAGGATCAGCACCACTCAAAGTGTAGGCATCAGTGTGGCACACAGCAGTGGCGATGATCTGTGAAGTCATGAAGAACAGTTTAAGTTATACTAAAAATGGCTCAACATGCATAGGCCACTATCCCAGTGCCAAGTCCCAATTTAGAGTAGGTCCATTAACTCAGTGGGATTTATGCAACTGTTGACATACTATTCAGCTACTGAATCAATGGGCCACTCACAGCTTAGACTCAAGTACTGACCACTACAGATAGGAACAAACCACCAGTTCCTGCTGGTTCATCCTTTGAATGAACAGATGTTTGGCAGTTCCCAGCCCTTCCTCCTCAGGCAGAGGCCCACTCAGAGGCAGCGCCCTGGCTTCCCCGCTCCTCCTGGAGGAGGTCTGCTGGAGGAGGCAGGGCTGAGAAGTGCCAACGTCTGCTGGAGGAGGCAGGACTGAGAAGTGCCAAATACCTGTTTGTACGAAGGACAAACTGGCACAAACCACCCAATAGCTTTTCATTTTCTCTTTTTAGTTGCAAAAGTATATACTGTACACATTTTATATTGATATATTTAGTCTTGTTTCATTACCTTGACACGAACTTCATGAGCCTTTGGTGGGGCAACTTCAATCTCTTCAATGGACAGTGGTTTACCTGCCTCCCAGGCAACAGCTGCCTTACATTTGATAACCTAAATATGAACAGAAGATATCTAAGAGTTGCTTGTTTAATGAGTTTTCTTGTTCAATGAAGCCGAGCACGACTTGTTCCTGGAAACTATCCCAAATTTCATATTAAAGGCCAAAGCTTGCCTGCTCACAATATTTCACGCTAGAAACTTCTCTGAAGTCCTGTCAAAATGCAAAATGGATCTTTACTAGTTAGCAGATTTTCGCTGAGTCGTTGAAGTGACTTATAAGCACAACAGAGGGATGGGGTGGTTGGCTGGGTTTTTACTTGCACTTTTAAGGCCTCTGTCTTACAGAAAGTTCTCTCAGGGGGCTCATAAAATGGAGGTAAAATAGACTTAACACAACAGCAACTGTCTTTTTTTCTAATGTGCCATAAAAAAAAAATTTACACCAGAAAAGAAAAGATGGATTAGGCAAACTTGTTGGGCTACAACAAGCATTAAACGTACTAAATTGATTTTTAAAATACCTGGGAAAATGAAAGGCTTTTGGTATTAGAATGACTACAAAACAGGTGACCCATAAACTTCTCCAGCCTAGGCAAGCCAAAATCTCACATTAGGAACTCAGAAGGACTCAGAAAGCTCAAAATCAACACTTTGAAAGTCAATAAACTAGTTGTATTTATAAGAACCTAAATACAGAAGGCTCACTGGAAGGACAGATCCTGAAGCTGAGGCGCCAATACTTTGGACATCTCATGAGAAATCTCCCTGGAAAAGACCCTGATGTAGGGAAAGTGTGAAGGCAAGAGGAGAAGGCGACGACAGAGGACAAGATGGTTGGACAGTGTCATCAAAGTGACCAACATGAATTTGACCCAACTGCGGGAGGCAGTGGAAGACAGGAGGGCCTGGCGTGCTCTGATCCATGGGGTCACGAAGAGTCGGACATGACTTAATGACTAAGTGCCTCCTTGACAGGGGAAGGACGTCTGAGACTGTATTGGGTTAAAACAAATTATTAGCCCCAACTAAAGTAGATCTACTAAATAAATAGGATTTACATAGGTGCTGCCTTAACAAGTTTGGATTATCCAATAAGTCTACTCTAATGGACTGTATGATTTTATAATAATAATACTAGGTTTTCAAAAAGCAGTTGCATAAGGATTCACAAGGTGGATACTACTTTTCAAACAGCATGGTTTATAAAAAAAAAACCCCACATGCCAAGGAAAATATTTGTATCCTTGCAATTCTCCTACCTTTACCGGAATTTGTTAGAGAATGAGTGTATTGGAAGAAGCAAATATAAGTAAATGATCTACATGTGAATAAAAGGATTCTGACCATACAGCAAGATTTTACAGGGCATGCTAACTGCAGTATTATACAAATTTCTGCCATAAAAACAAAATAAACACCAGTTTTATAACATACAGCATAAAGGGTGTCTTCAAACTATTTCATCCATAGCATGGTTGAATAAGCACACTTTCTCAGACCAAGAGACAGAGAAACATTAACTTTAGAAAAGACCTCCTCCTTAATTGTAAGTGGTGAATTCACTGCCACGCCACTGGCTAAGCGTAGTGGACTGTGGTAAAACCTGGGACCTCTTAAAGCGATGTCAAGGGGCTGCCTTTCCTGATCTTTCCCTTTTTGCCCCCCCCCTTCCCCACAGGTACTATATAGAGAAAACTGCCAGTGAACTGCTGGATGCCAACAGCTTGCCAAGGTTATTTTTAAAACGATCACACTGCTCTTCCTGTATACTGGACTTTAGCATTTACATTTCATGGAACATAAAAGATATGAGGAGGGAGGACAGGCTTTCTTGACTAAGTCCCATGTCAAGACTCCTGAGAGGGTTTATAAACCACACTGCTCTTCCTGTATACAGTATTGGACTTTAGCATTTGTATTTCATGGAACACAAAAGGAAGGGAGGACAGGCTTTCTTGACTAAGTCACATGTCAAGACTCCTGAGAGGGTTTATAAAACATGAGTAAAATTATGAGTACAACTAAAGGTCCTCCTTCTAGCTCTTTCAAACAATTGTGGGTTGCATATGTGTACAGTATAGATTTCGATAGCCTCTCTAGACCAAGAACTGCTGGATAACCCAGTGGTTTAGACCTCCAGCTCTGAGGTTAGGAGTTCAATTCCCCACTGTGCCTCCTTGACAGGGGCTGACCTTGATGCTCCATAGGGTCCCTTCCAGCTTTGCAATTCTAAGACTAAAGTCGGTTCATTACTGTCAATCCAGATGTTCTGGGCTATCACTCCCATAACCTTGCTGGGTGGGGCTGTGGACAGATGAGGTGCAAAACATCTGGACAATCAAAGCCCCTCGCCCTTTTTAGACCAAGAGCAGAACACTATTGGGGGAGAGTTTTCCTTTTTAAATCCATGCAAAATTTAGCCCTCCCGCCCAGACCAAAAGAACAATCAAAAGGGGGACTACAAGCCAGCTTCTTTTGGCTGCCACATGAGGACCACAAAGAAGAGTGAAAAATATTTAAACGTGAGAAATATACAATACTGATCGACTAGTTTTAATGATGAGAGCGGCGGGTGGTGGGGGGGAGAGATCTCAGGTAAATAAGACCCAAAGAACCGCTACCTATTGGACTCCCGTAAGTCAAACCAGACATGCACCGCCAGGTGAATGTAGCCAAATCCGGCGAACCCATCTCCCCGCCCCGCCCAAGTCCCTTTCCACGTTCAACTCAAGGTCCTAAAAGCAGCTCCCCAAACTTAATTGTTTCTTTGCTCCTCTCCTCCTCCTTTTACTTTGGCGAGGCCGAGAGGGAGGAGCGGAAAAGGTCAAGCCAGCCTGATGGCCGCTTGCAGGAAGGCACAGGGCTGGGGGAGAGAAAGACGTGCTCAAAGGCCACAACCCTACGCACGCTTACCTAGGAGTAAGACTCGGCAAGCCGGGCTCCTTGAATAGGGACGCACCAGATGTCTCTCTATTCCTGGGGCCTGGTTTTTTTTTTGGGGGGGGGGGAGACGGAATGCCAGTTTGTGGGTCGGAAGTTTAACTGCACTGCTCCGAGCCCAACTGGAAGGAAAACGCGAACGCCTCTGAGCATGGGCAGAGCGCGTGTTCTGGCAGAGCCCTGGGGACCGTCTCTTGAATTTAGGGGCACGGCTTTCAGGCCTATGATGTCCGACGACCCCCATCCGTGAATGCTTTATTTCTGGGCGGGGGGGGGCGGTTAGGACGCTTGGGTTGCAATTCTCTGCAAGCTCGACAATGCCTGGTGGTTGCGATCCCGCACGCACAGGAAGGGGCGCAAGGGGAATAGAAAGCTACCAATTCCTTCCTTTGTTCCTTCCTTCCTTCCCTCCTTGATCCGGGAGGCCAGTTCCGCCTCTCTCCCGGCTGCGAGCCTCCTCTGGGGAAAGACGGGGAGCCGCTGTGCGTCCCCGGCGGCGCTTTCCCCGAGGGCCGAAGAGCGCAACGCCGACTTACCCCGCTCGCCATGGCTCAACAGCGGGCTCTCCCCGGCAGCAACCTCGGCGACCGGCCTTCTTCCAAAGAGCCGCTGAGCTTGCCCGGGGCATGCGCGCTCCTCCGGGATCCGCCTACAAATAGGGGCCGGCCCAGGAGCCCGGGATCCCGGCCGTGCGAGTGTTTGGAGAGGTGGTCTGAGTTGGAGAGCTGGTCTCCAGGCCTTGAGCCTCTTTCCTCAGACACCGACCCTCTGGAAGGTCGCGGGACGGGAGCCCTTGTCCACGTTTGGACCACCCGCAGCTCGCCCGAGGTTGCCGAACTACAGCTCCCATCATGCCTCATGATCGGCTAGGACTGATGGGTGTTGAAGTCGAGCAACATCTGCCCCGCCGTAAATTCTCCACAAACGGATATGAGTAGTATTATTATATCCTTGGCCTGAGACTGGGGCTGCAAAGCAACAGTTTAAAATATTGTCTTGAAAGGATGCAAAAAACCCCAGAAAAAGACACATTTGGGAAAAGAGGTACTATACAGTTGTCCCTTGCAAGGAATTGATGTTTGCCCCTCTCCTGTGTCCCACCCTCTTGTCATCTACTTTACCATGAACAGCCACAGAAATAATCACCAAATATTTTTCCTTTACAAAAATGAAACTCATTAGCCCTTTTGAAACCTGCAGTTCATGTAAACTGGATATTTATGCATGTTGTTTATATGCTGCGTTTCTCCTCCTAGGGAAGAAAGATAGCTCACAAAGAAACATTAAGGAGAATCGATAAAAATGAAACACTCTTCCTTTATGTGCAGGTTTTTCCTGCCCCTGTCTGCTGAATGGCGTTGAAGTCCCCTGGCAATATATGGCAATAAGACACCAAAGCAAGGCACCTTTCAGAGGCCTGGATCCTGCAACTGAAGGATGTGAAATTCTGCTGTCTCTGAGGTCAAACTGCACCTGTTTGATTTCACCCTGATGTGCTTGAAGAACACACTGAAGTTCTTTAAAAAAAAGGACCACTTATGCCAAAATCTTCATAAGTCTTGCTCAGAAATTAAATTCAGAGAATTGAAAAGCAGATGAGTACAGTACAGTACTGTATTCAGGCTGGATCCAAAGTCCTCTGCTATTAAAATTAAAAACAAATGACTGTGGGTGGGAGGTGCGGAGTCCTTTTCCAAGTACAGTATACAACTCAGTCAATGGAGCCTATACAAGCATTGACTTACTGAAGTCCCATTCATTCAGAGCTTTTAAGTGCCCTTGGGAATAACAAAAGGTTTTAGCTATGTGGTTTGTGATTGGGTTCTTTCAAATCTGATGACAGTTCCTCCATTTTGGTGGGAAGAAGAGGCGGAGGCCGATGTAATGTTTCAATAATTCTTGCTTTATTAATTTGCACAACTTCTTCATTAATTATAACTGGGTCAAAACATGGTAATTTTTAAAAATTGTTTTTATCTTCTAAGTTGTGAGCTTTTTAAAATTGTTTTTATCTTCTAAGTTGTAAGCCGCCCAGAGTAGACTATGTCTAGATGGGCGGCATATAAATGTAATAAATGCAATAAATAAATAAATAAATAAATAAGTCAGGTAACAGACCATAACTCGACAACAGTGTCTTTCTTGAAGATCCACTCTCTTCTTCTACTGCGGGGCTGGACCAAAGCGCTCCTTGTCGGTGATCCGGTGTAATGGGGCGCTTCTCATCACACACACCGTCCTACAACAGGGATGTCGTGCCCAATCTCCCTCCTAGGGTGATAAATTGATGATGGGATCTGGCTGTGCTGTGAGATTACCTCAAAAGTTCATTGTCTTCTTAGCACCACCTGACAGAAGTATGCTGTGGGTGACAGGGTAAGAAATCCCTCCTCAAATACTTGAAGCCATATTTGACAGAAGCATACTAGCGCACTGACATCCCTGTTGGAAAATTAATTTTAAAAAATTAAGGGAGTTGAACAACTGCAGGTGGGAGAGGTGGGACCGCATACCAGATGTAAAGGAAATGGATCGATTTAGTAGTACACACTCGATGGAATGTTGGTTGCGCTGCACGATGAAATGCAGAACAAATAATAGTAGTACCTTCCCAGTAGATTAGATGGAGAGGGGGGAACAAAATAATTGGTAATGGCCATGCGTCTTCTGAACCCCGCAAAAGGTTAGAAATTCACAAGGAATAACTCAGAAAAATTTTACTAGTGTGACCCCAGCAACTTCTCAGTGTTTCTGTATCCATGGGGAGAAAGGATGAGTAAATATAAAAGTGAACATTAGGTGGCACTATAACATTTTAGAGACTGTATTCATTGCAACAAGGCCCTGATGTTTAAATTTTCTCTTTATGGTTTCAGGCAGGGAATCTATTTTAGTTAAGTAGATTTTATATACAGTATATATATTAAAAAGGAAGTGCATATGTGCTGAATCATAAATTATAAGTTACAGAACACAGTGTGCGTGCAGGGGTGTGTGGGCTAACAGTATGAAAAAGGAAACAATTGAAGCAGCTGTTTCAAAATGCCAGGGGGAGAAGGGGGGAGTGAAGGTGAGTGTAGCAGGGCACAGGGAAAGGATAAAAATCGCCCTCAATTTTGAAATTTGCTGGAGGAGAGCTTTGCGGATACCCTGGGCTGCCAAAAAGCTGAGCAAATGGGCCTTAGATAAAACCGAGCCTGAACTCTCTTTGGAGGCAAAAATGTTGGAACAGGCTGTCCTATTTTGGGCACATCACGAGAAGGCAGGAGTGTCTGGAAGTGACAATCATACTGGGAAAAGTGGAAGGCAGCAGGAAAAGAAGACACCTGAATCTGAAATGGATTGACTACCTAAAGGAAGTCACAGACTTGAATTTACAAGAGCTGAGCAGAGCTGCTGAAGATAGGACATTTGACAATTGGTCAATAATGGGTCCACTATAAGTTGGGTGTATGAGACTTGACTTAAAAAGCAGAGACATCACCTTGCCAACAAAAGTACGCATAGTCAAAGCTACGGTTTTTCCTGTAGTGATGTATGGAAGTGAGAGCTGGACCATAAAGAAGGCTGAGCGCTGAAGAATTGATGCTTTGAATTGTGGTGCTGGAGGAGGCTCCTGAGAGTCCCCTGGACTGCAAGGAGAACAGACCTATCCATTCTGAAGGAAATAAACCCTGAGTGCTCACTGGAAGGACAGATCCTGAAGCTGAGGCTCCAATATTTTGGCCATCTCATTAGAAGAGAAGACTCCCTGGAAAAGTCGCTGATATTAGGAAAGTGTGAAGGCAGGAGGAGAAGGGGACAACAGAGGATGAGATGGTTGGACAATGTCATCAAAGCTACCAACATAAATTTGACCCAACTCCGGGAGGCAGTGGAAGACAGGAGGGCCTGGCGTGCTCTGGTCCATGGGGGTCACGAAGAGTTGGACATGACTAAACGACTAGACAACAACATGAGACTTGACAGTACATAACAACAACTTAAAGTGGGGAGAGGATTGGCCAGGTATGAACACCCTTCCTTGACCAGCCCCTTTTCAAAACAGATGGCAGAAGTTACATTTTTGGACTACAATTCCTATAACCTCCCCAATCCAGTATGATCGTGCTGGTTTGGGGATTCTGGAATCTGTAGTCCAAAGAAGTCCAGTACTTATTCCAAACTCTTACTTCATTTTATTCTGCATTTAGCATGAATGTTTGAAAAGGCTTGCAACTCTTTCCACACTTGGAGGACATAAAGGTATGTTCCACCCAAACCTGATCTCGAGCTGGCTTTGCATCTCCACTCTACTGGGCACCTGCTTACCCCTCCTCTCTCTAAGCCCTTATGCCTTCACTTGAATGGCTGCAAGAGTGAGCTGTAATTTCGCTGGTAGATGCAGCAGAAGAACAAGCAGTGGATCCCTATGTACTCTTAAATTGCTTTTAATCCAACTGTGCTTTTAATAACAGTTCACATAATTGTTTTTAATATTATAATTTATTTGTGTTTGTGAATGTACTTTAATCTTGCTCCAAAATGCCTTGAGTCCATTTTTTTCAGGAAAAGGAGAGGTAAAACCTATAAACCAAATAAAATAAAATTATAAATTAAAGAGATGCCACGTGCCAAGCAGCTGTTTTTAAAGAGTTTGTATCCACATTATATTAAACACTGGCTTGTTGTTTGTTTGGTCAGTAAATCTTTCCAAGGTTCTTTTCTTCCCTGAACTCTCTAGAATCTAGAAAGGGATCCAAATCATTTTTAATTTGTTTCTCAATAATAGAACACTTTGTTCCATTTAACATTTAAGAAATATTTGGATTCCTGAACTCTTCCAAATGGGAAACAGTTCAATTCATGGGTTTTGTGTGTTTTTTTAATTGCTTGTTAGGGGTTTTTTTTTTACATTGCTCAAGAAGAGCTTCTCATACAATGCTGACAACATTTAAAATAATGTAATACATGGAGCAGCACTATTTTCCCTTAAATTGGGTTGTGTGCCAGAAGGACCACAGAACAAATGAGTGGATGAAGTGCATGAACAAAGGGGCTTTCTACTCCAATTTATAGCTAGATAGCAGGATTTAGGTGGCTATATTTTCATTTATTTTCTATTTGACAGCAATCCAAGATTGCTTCCAGACAAGGTTTTTATTGTAAAAGTATTTTGGGTCATTCACAGAGTGCTGGGTGTGTGTGTGTGTGTCTGTGTGCATATGTAATAATCTTAAATGTATTGAGTTTAGAAAGTTACTTTTGAAAAGAGTGCTTGTAATAATATGCTGAAGCCATCCATAATAGAAAAGTGGTACAACAATGATGTGTCTCAGTGCATGACCCTATCTGTTCAATAGTGGATGGCTTCAGCATGCAAATTCAGTTTGCATTTACAGCTCGCCGTATTTAATTCTTCTTTTCCAGCTCTGTAAATGTGTAGCTGTTCCATGATTTTTCCCCACTTATTATATTTCTTTTAAAACACTCACCCAAAACCACCTCTCAAGGTGGGAAAGACACAATGCCCAAAATCCTGTTATGTTTTTGCACTGGAATAACATCAGAGGTGTAACTTTTGGCAGTGAATTGCTGTAAATTAAGAAGTCAGCACAACTGTTTGCTGTCATGCGCCAAAGCAGGGAGAACAGGAGAGTTATAACTGCAAAACATTTTTTAAGGTTGTCATGTTCTGGTCGATATCATTTTAAGCAGCTCTGTAACCAGAAAAGATATTGCAAAATGGGTTGTGATGATCCTTCTGACTCTTTACTTTGGACAAAGAAGAGGGAAACTGTGCTTTGCAACTGATAGCATGATGGACCCAGGCTCAGCTGTGCTCAACGTTTTCCCCAGTCCTCTATCCTACTTGTGATTTCTAGTGAGCTGATCTTGTACAAACACAAGCACCCCTTTGCACCAAACCACTGAGCCTTAGGACAAGCTGGAAATGGGCAGAGTAGCCCAGGCTTTAAAACTACTTCATGTAAAAAAAAAAAATTAAACTTTCTCCCCCTCTAGTGCTGAATGCCCTGAGATTTGTGACTCTATCTAGAGTAAGCATAATAATTACCAGGAACTCTCATATAGGTGTATATACCACATGGCCATGAAGGACAAGAAAGGGATTAAAAGTCTTGTTACCAGAGAGGGACATTTCGCTTGCATGACCATTGCCTGAGATTCAAAATGGCAGCTGAGCTGGCTTCTATACATGGATTGAAGGCAATGCCTCAAGTAACTAAATGACTGGGATTAATCCTGATAGATTTACATATTGTTGTTCAAGATACCTAATGTGTAGGTGGCTCGTTTCGTTTAGTCATTTAGTCGTGTCCCGACTCTTCGTGACCCCATGGACCAGAGCATGCCAGGCCCTCCTATCTTCTACTGCCTCCCGGAGTTGTGTCAAATTCATGTTGGTTGCTTCGCAGACACTGTCCAGCCATCTCATCCTTGGCTGCCTACATATTATTAGGAAGGAGGACATCCATCACCAAAGAAGACAAAATATCATGTCTTTTTGCATTAAATTGTATGTGTTAGTTTGTATAAAATTGTATATACTTATACGTAAAGATGCAAAATCCAGTTTTTGTCAGCATCTCACCCAACACAAAAGGAAGACAGGGATCCTTGATCTCTA